GCGTGACGCTAGTGGTCACTTTTTATTGACTTTCAACATCAAGTTAAAAGTATAATTTCTTTTTTTCTGGCACGAAAGCATGCTTATTGCCGCCAATGTGATGAATGGTCTTTTCATTGGAGCTACAATTAGAAAAAAATTCGGAGCGGGTAGACAGTCCCTTTAAGAAGCGATAGATTCATCGCAATTGTAAGTGACTGCTGAATGTTCGGCAATTTAATGCTCTGGTTAGTAGTAGTTCCCGACCACTATGCACTGTGAAGTTTTAGAGACACGCTGTTAACACGCTTTAGGCATCTGCAAATGTTATGTTTGTCCAGTCATTGCTCCATCCCAAGTGATGAATGCGAGAAGGCCAGCATCGAGATCAGTGATACCACGATAAAAATAACACCGGAAAACAAAGCTTGGTGCATCTTTTCCGGTAAGCGTGAAGCATGTGTAGCAGCCTAACTGGAGTACAGAAGATGACAGCCTCGTCCCACGGCTTCAATCGCAAGCCTTAGATTCCCCATTCAGCAACCACATTATAGTTTCATACAGACGACCCGGTAGTCACGGAGCTATTTTATGTGACATCTTTTTGCAAAGTTATTGATTCGCATGCCATCGTTGTCCCACACAAAAGAATGAAAAAATCTGAGCCAGTCAAAAACAACCTTGTCAACAAAAGTTCTTTCTTGGCCTTGAAAGAGTGCGAAATTCCGAAACGAGAAATCGCTTAAGTTTCAGCTCTCAAGGGTCACTGTTCGTGCAAGGCCGACAATTCTGTGCGATGCAAACATTTGATTGCAATGTGAGGCTTAGCACATAGGTAAGTGCTGTATATTCAGTTGCAAGTTAAATTTAGAAATATGAGTTTTCATTGATCCTTCCGAAAGAGATATCTTCCACTTTGAAAGGACAGAATCTGCACATGGAATCAGTGTGTGTTTATTTACCTAAAATGTTTTATGGTATTGACAAACTGGTATGTAGGAGTGTACATTGTCAACAAGCCATTTTCACATTGGCAGAATACATGCGATTTCAAGTGACGTCATTTAATTGAAACAGTTTCAAGATTTATGATACAGATGCTTACACCTTCAACAAAAGCGGGTTTGATGGTAATAGTCGCTCAGTGAATCAACTAAGACTGACCTCACTTGTAAATGAAATGTTAGCTTGTCCGACTTTTAACATCTTATATCAGCACCTTCAACAAAAGCGGGTTCGATGGTAATAGTCACTCAGTGATTCAGCTACGACTGCCTCACTTGTAAATGAACTGTTAGTTTGTCCGACTTTCAGCATCTTATATCAGAATTGCTGTTTTTGAAAAAAAAGATTACTTGTAAAGAAACCTAACTGGCCTTCCTCCGTGCACTAATTATTTCTTTACGCGCGAAGTTTACCGATGCTCTGCATTGTTTCTGTGCTTCTATCAAATTTTTCAGGGCTGGATTCTCAAATCTAGCTTACTTCAACACACGTGAAGAAAGCATAGGGAAATTTGAATGGGAACTCCATCTACAAGCCAATACGGCTGAAAGACCTCTGTCTTGTGCGAAGCTTTCCATCAGTCAAGTTAGACTAGGCAGAGCTGGAGATATCCGACAATGGCTGATTCGACCAGCTTCTGGAAGTGCTTGGGCAAAGCATGCAGCAGTCGGTGTTTCCAGAATGTAATGCACAGTACAAGCCAGAGCTCCGAAAATTATGAGCTTGAAGCAGGCTCTTAATTAGCCACACTGCCTTGAACAAGCATGTGCAAGGTCACAAGAATCTGCACTACCACTAGGAAGTATTTAAACACTGCAGCAAACTCGGAATTTATTTTTTTCGCTTAAGACTGCTCAAGCGAAGACTTGCCAACTTTATACAAGAGAAACTTGTGCAATCGCAAGATGACGCAGCTAATGTCAGCAAAGAAACTGCCAGTCAAAATAACACCAGGTGACAAAGGGCACGAATGGTGAGAATCACCGGAAACAAATGCAACACACTCTACCGCTTTATCCCTCAAGAAGCTGTCAGCTGTCAGCAAAAGTTTTACAAAGTGTTGACAAACGGCTTGAAGAGAAATGAGGCAATGAGACGGGGAAAGGCTTGCGAGAAGCTTAACGTAGAAGCGTACGACCTCAGCATAGGTGAAGCTTGTATATTTGAGCTCGTCGTGAATCCTGTGCTTCTTTGGTTGCGATTAGGCCAATTGGAATTTCATTCAGAGGCGGGAAGCTAGCCATACTTATTGAAGCCCTGTCTCGTGAAAAACCTAAAGAATAGTTGACCTTGTGAAGCAGAAGAAAATACGATACCATCCTGCGCGATGTTGAGAACTACAACTTGAGGCCAATCCATTGTTATTGCACACAGTTAAAACTAGGGCTTTGCCTACTAGTACCAGAAGCAGCACGTTTTATTTTATACCGTGAAGTGGAGTCACTAGTGATCACAGTGAACAAGTCCAACTTCTGTTGATGATTTCATCAGGCGACTGAAAATACTTTCCTTCTCACACTATTTGACAGAGCTCGTGAAATGCACGGAATAAGTGCCAGAAATAAAAAAAAACAGTCTGTGGGACTCCGAATAAATTCTGAATTGTGTTTATTGAAAGCCTGGGAAACAGCGCTGCCACTGTGCCATAATGCGATTTCTGAGAGTGTGTGAGGAGACACAAACGAGCGAAAACTGCCGGTGTGCTATCACGTGATTGCTAAGTGTCTTAGGCGGGAGAGGCTACAGCTTGCTTCGTTCAGGGGCATAGATGGTCTGACACCTCAAATACGACCCGTTTAGGTCTTTCACCCAAATAAATGTGATAAGTTTTTTTTGTTCTCTTGAGCTATCCTATGCAAATTGCTGAATGTAGTAAGTGTTCTCTGTGCTTGTACCACTGCATTCTTTTGGAGCGAAGCACCTAAGGACCTCTTACATCCGCCGTAGTCTACAGTTGAAGGGCAGGGGCCAAACTGCTGGGCATAAACTGTCTACAGAGCAAGCTTAGCGCTCATACAGTTTAAAAATACACCATACTTGGCGCGGTGTCTCTGAAAAGCTGCACTAAAAATGAGCGCATCGATAAGTAATTAACGTGTGTGAAATTGTCGACACAGTGCACGCTGCGCGCACAGTGGCGCTTGGGGCCGCTTGTAACGACCCGCTCTCCGCGCAGTCATGAATGAGAGCGAACGCAAGCTGATGCTCGCAGCAAAAAAAACGAAAACGCCATGACTCCGACCCCGACCTTCAAGCAGGAGAAGCTGCAGCAATAAGGCAATGCCGACAAGCAGATCTGGAGCTGATAGCTCAGGAAGCCGAGGCCCACTGCATGCCTGACGACAAGTGAATCAGGTTACTGAAGCACTCGAAACAGCGTCAAAGCACCCACGAACTCCAGTGCTTCACGCACTCATCATTATTCACTTTGGGTTTGACATATCTGGCCAATATTTCTGCTTCATATTGCGCAAATAGCACTCAACAGTTGACATTTTAAATATGCGTTTTCTTGTACATTGTATTTCTACTGTCTTTTTGCAAGTTGCTTGCAGTACTTTGGAGATGTCAAGGCTATTCAGCAAAAAGAAAGTGCGAAATCTCACAAAATGCATGATCTGCACTCTCTGCTGGAGTCGCCATAATTTCTGCATGCAAACGTTTGGCCCGCAGTGATGGCAGTGGTGTTAGAAAGAAGAAAAAAAAACGTGGAAGCACTGTTTGAAATATGTGGCTTTCACCTCAAATTAAGTATGTCGTAGTTTGCTGTATGCCCGGAAAGGTTTAAACTGAGTCTTGTGTATATGCATAGTGTATTTGTGTTGTGAGGTTTTATCTGGGTATTCATAGTGTTTTCACATTCTCTCCAAGGTCCATTTCCAAATTCTTGGAAACGAAGTTCAGCGGTTTGGCTGAATTAGATAGCTGATGAGGCGGTGGCACAGCCAGGGGGTTGCACACTGATCTTGTGCGCCTCTCATATTCGTCGAAAGTATTTTTCGCCGTGGCCTGGAAAGCACGAAATGACTCACGACTACATCTGCCTACCCAGTCCCATCAAGAAGCCCCCCCCCCCCCTCTCCTGCCCCTAAGAAACAATATTGTGCTTAAGCCCAAGTAGTGTAGTATACGCCACATACTTGTTTGAATTGACGCCACATTTTGATATCTCATGGTTATCAGGCCAGTGAATAGTTTTGGATGATCCCAAGCCAGGAACTATCTTTTCCTTGTTAAAAGGATGGCTAGTTAAATTTATGTGCAACTTTTGAACCTGGTGAGGCCTTGCCCTTTCGTGTTCAAGCTGTTTTTTAAAATTGTACATGAGAATGGACAATGAATATATTACTATAATGCAGCTGGTACGCGTCAAACAACTGCTTGTTGGCAGAAACAATGCCAGGAACGGAAGTGCATAAGTTGTCAGTTTGATTACAAGAAGGATCCTGCCAATGCGGCACGAAATTAATGTACGTACGAGCATTCGATTATGAACAGCCGAGAAAAGCACGGAAGAAAGGGCCACTAATTATTCGTGCGAAAATCGCGGGCTTTCCCGAGCTTAGCAATTAGTGTTATTTGTACCTAAATATGACATATTACGCTTCTACACATGCGATAAACATCACGTTACACTCATCGCTTGCACCGTAGTTTGTCAAGAGAAGACAAATCAATTTTACACTGACTTTGAAAAATATTCTGAATTTCAGGCCGTGCACTGCGCTCTAATATTCGGCTCGCGTATTTTCGGGAGCCTAACTACCGATCGGCAGCTGTTTCTGACCATGCTGAAAAAAAAGTTGCAGGGATCTTTTATTATGACTAATGTGATTCACAAGTCGAGAAACACGCGTATGACTTATACACCTACATAAACATTATTTTAAGACCTCACTGTTTTCTATGCGCAATTGATTTCGAGTATTAAAACAATTTTGTGATCATGGTAGCAATGAACACCGCAGAGAAATCATCGCTTGTGTCACGTGCGTACCTGAGCTCTTTTCATGCAGCACCGAGTTCCGTTTACGCGCCGGCTCACGGCGTATGATGTGACTGAGAGACATGCGGCGGGGCCACGACAGCGGCGATTAACTCTCGGCACTGCTGCTGCAGCGGCGGAGCCCGGTTCAGTCGTTTCAAGCCGGCACCTCTCCGCCGCCCCGTTGAGCCGGCGCTTGTCGCAAGCGGTGGGCCGTTTTGTAAAGCCAGCACCAGCTCAGGATGCCGCTATGTCTACAGCTGCCACTGCTACTGTGGCGGCTGAAGCAACCATGGAAGCTGGGAAGCCAGAAGGCGACGAGTCATTTCACCTACAGGTAATCTCCACTACGGCTGCCCTGAAAAACGAGGATGCGGTGAGTGAATGCCCACATTCACATCAACTTAGGATAAAATGTAGGCTGGAGAATATTGAAGTGCTTATTTTTTATTTTGATGCATTCGGGTTTCTTCAGGAAGGTCAGGGGTTCGTATGCTGCATCGTAGGGTTCGCGCGCATTGAATTTGTATATTATAACATTTCAATTAGTTATTACTTTATGTGTCCTAATTGTTAACACTACAGTTTCAATGCTGTTGCTTGCTTTAAAAATGTATATTTTGGCAAATGTGTTTTTGATCTCACCTATTCTATACATTGCGATAATGATGTTTTGTTTATCGGTATTTTGGGTTTTATTATGTATATTGTTCTGTTCTTTTTCACATTTTGAGCGTTTATTTGTCTGACTATAATTTGCTGATTGTTAGCCTTTGCGTAAAAACTTGTTTTATCTGCGTCTATCAGACTGTATTGCGGAGCAAAAGCCTTCGTCAGGCTTTACAGCCTTTTGCTTCGTTTTTTTATATACAAGAAAACAAAAATAAACCACAAACCCCAACCTCAACTGCTTTTGATGCAAGAGTGAGGGTGCCTCGATTGGCAGAGTGTGTAGAGAAATCTCACCTCGGCTGCTTGATGTTTGCTTTCATTTCACGGGCAAATATGTTTCTAAGGCCGCAAAACTGTAATAACGGACACCGCGAACGCTCCCGGTGAGTGTGCTGTGCTTTTTATTAGTTCCAGTTACCTTTACCCCGAAATACCAGGACAATTTTTTAGGGGCGAAGCTCCTTACAGCGGCACCCGTTCATCCCTCGTAGCTGTTGTAGTATGTAGCAAGTATAACATTTTGACCTCCAAGGTGGTGCCAGTGAGAGATTTCTTCTGTGCGTTCTTGAACAATAAAAAATAGTGCTCAATGTACATGCCAATGGCTGCTAATGGGGAATGAGGGACAGGAACATTCGGCTTTTAGTTAACGCGCACGCTGCAATCCCCATTAGCAGCCATTGGCATGTACATTGATCACTATCTGACAAGAAAGGGTTGCTACGTTATACTCGCTAGGTGTAACCTCCTGGTTTTAGAAAGATTTAGCGAGCGTTGGGCCGCAGTGCCATGAATACAGTGAACTAGTATATACCATGAACTCGGGGTGGTTAAAGGTGATAAGCAGACCCGAAGCGCAAGCTGTAAGAAAGTGTGCGTGTGCCACCTCTCTTTTAGTCCTTGGAATGTCCGCTGCATGGCGGTGCTTCTATATGGGGTATATATGATGAAAAGATGTGAGATGGTGGTACTTGGAGTGTTGAATAGATGGACAAACGGACACACAGACAGATGCATGGATGGACGCATGAACGGACGCAGGGGCGGGTGCATGGACGAACGCAGGGACGGACGCATGAACAGGTGCACACACAGACGGGAGGATGGACGTATAAACTGTCACAGAGACGGATGCAAGGACGGACGGAAGCAAGAATGAATGGACGGACGAATGCTTTGCCCCACTCTCCATTCACTCCGTAGATATGCTGCCAATTTTTTCAACGATGGTACACGAGCATAAGCCAAACCAAGTCTCGTCCAAGCTGAGTGCGGCCCCATCGAGGTCGGCCCGGTAAGCTTGACATTATGTCGCTACCACTACCGCACCAACCGCGCCAAAGGGACACCTGCGTGGCAGTAGAGTGCCCACCAAAAATTGGAGGCACCGAAAAATTGGACAGCAGTTCCTGCGGAACGCGACCAACGCGGTCAACGAAGAGCGCCACATACAGAACGCTGAACGACCGCCGCACAGCTGTGGGGAACGCCGAAGTGCGTCTCTCGGGGGTGGAGTGCAGGCAGAAGGAGCGACCGCAAGTGGGCGATGACTTGCACCGCACGCTGGCCAAAGGGAGCTCTGTTGCTCACACTGCCCTGTCTCCAAGCTTCTGACATTCGCCTTTAAGGGCACGCAGAACAGAGACGCGTGCTCGCGTCCCCAATCTATCCCGGGCACAATCCGCCTAGAGATTCAGCGCGCGAAACGCTTGCGTCGCGTTCCATTTTCACCGAGGCCATCTCAAGGTTTCTTTTTTTATCCGCTAGGCTATGTATTCTGGCGCTGTAGTGAGACTGGAAAACTCGACTGAACGGTGCCCGGGAGACTGACGACGATGAAACCGAAGCTGACAACGCCAAAGACAGTGACACTGAAAACGGAAGCGCGCAGTGGTCCATATTCTCCAAGCGGAAGCTGAACAGGGAAGTCAAGATGGAGCATCTCCGCCTTGAACGGGTGAGCCGACCTCGTTTTGCACTCTCAATCATGACAATTACTAAAAGATATTTGCATGACATACCTAAGCAGGCTATAACAGCTGCAATAGAAATGACCACGCAAAGCTGGGAACTTGCAGAATTGGCAATGTTTCGCTATGACTCTGCTGCGAACAGTGTAAAGGCTACAGTAAGAGACGACGAACACGCGGAAAGACTTGCGGCGCTTACGCGATCAGCTGAGAAAACGTGTGGACAAGTCCGTTCGTATAATATAAGGATTGAAAGGACTCTGGCTCAAAGAGTCGGGAGTGATCCCGGCGTTATCAAAGTGTGCTCTGGTCAGACCACTGAATATATACTCGACCACTTATGATGCAAAACGGCTAGAATTATAGATGGGCACCTAATCAGGAAGACCAACATGCTGCTACTCACGTTTGACACGGAATTATTTCCTAGCAGGCTTGTGTTTGACTAAGAAATCAGTAAGGTGCATGTGTATCGACTAAAGGTCATAAACTGTTATAATTTCCATAGATTGGGACACATTGACAAGTACTGTTCATCAGTGGAAGTCTGTAAGCAATGCGGACGAAAGCACTCCGATGATATTGAATGCGATGTTGAGCTCTTTAGCGTCGCCTGCCATAAAGAGGGTCACATATCGTTGAACTCTGCATGCCCTTGTCGTGTGCCCCAGTACATAAAGAAAATGAGCCAGAATGCGTTGGGTCAAAAGGCAGTGAGCTGGTCTGAATTTGTTCAGACAGACACGCTGAAACAACCTGAGCGATGCAGTGACTATGAACAGCAAATAAAAGATTTGCGCAAAGAAAACCAGTGATTAAGGACGCTGCGACAAGAGATACTGGCAAGACTACCGCCCCATCCACGATCTATGCAAACATGAACCAGCATGAACCGACTCCGCGAGCTAGTGACACAAAAAGCGCGAGTGCAGGAAGTCGGTATGGGTGATCGTTGACCCGCAAAAGAATGGCAAACTCAAGGAAACAGCAACAACCATGAAATATACAGACTCAGAAGAGCAGGACGCTCTGAACATCAAGGCCACTTACTGCGCGAGACTCGGCATATGCGCCGATGTTGGATATCCTGCGCCAAGGGCGGTTCATAGAAACTCAATGCTTGGAAAAAAAGAACTACGGGAGAATTTCAGACCATAACGAATACAATACAAAGCGAAATGCAAACTGTGCTCAACGAATGGCAGAATGTTTTTCAAAAACAGAAGGAGCCTAAGCGACGCAAGAGAGCAGATTAAAGCTGGCTACAAGACTTACAGTTATTCAATGGAACTGTCGCACTTTCAAACAGAATGGGTCAACACTAAGGCATCAAATAGGAAGACTTAAACCTCTTGCCTTAATATTGCAGAAGACACGAGGACTGTGTAATATTAGAGGTTCCCGTACCTTTCAGCAGTCCACTATAATGTACCAGGGTAAACGCAATGAACAGCCGCAAGGCCAAGCCGCTCTCTCAGTGAGAAATGACTGTGCTGCAACTGAACTACGAATTTCGGAGCTAAGCAACGAATTTAGAAAAATTGTGGCTGTCATGCTTCGCCCGCGTGGTCTGTGGCCACCGGTTACGGTTTGCGTTTATAACAGACCGATGACGAGCAAGGGTCAAAACGGTTCTTTCACGTGGCTCGGTAAAGTGCAGGTGCAAGTCGGAAGCCTTCCCTTCGTGGTGGGTGGAGACTTCGTTGCCAAACATCCCTCTTGGGGCTTCGTTAACGCTGACTCAAGAGGACGCGCTCTGCAAGAAGCAAAAGAAATGTTGACGCTAAACGTGTGTAACACACCAGATATACCAATCCGCAATGGGCTACACGTGAAGCAGCAGGACATGACACCTGATTTAACGCAGCCACTCCTGGGTTGATAAGGCGATGGGACGTATATTTGACCACATGGGGAAGCGATCATTTGCCTATAATAAATATGCTAAATCGCAAAAAGATCAAGAAAAAAAGGCATGCGGTTGTGTTTGACTGGAACAAATTTCGAGTAGCCACGGGAGACTGTTTTGCAGAAATTCTATAATCGCGGAGGCACGACCAGAGGCAAGAGAGACTATACCATGTGATGCCACTACGACTCACACGGACGCCCACCTTTCAAAGCTTTGGCGAAGGGCCGATCGTCTAACCCCACAATATTGACACAAAGGGAAACGCCATCGAAATTTAATGTCTCTTAAACGGCAATATCAATTGATAAAGAAATACCAGCAACTCCGAGAAGCCGTTGAATGACGCAATATGTGTGAGAAGCTTGGACGCGAACGTGGCCTCAAAAGACTGTGGGGGATTTTGAGGAGTCTGCTCGGTAGAAGCAAAGGTGCACCTCCACTTATGAAACTCCTCCTGCAAAAGGACACTGTGACGCTGGAAACTCAAGCCATTCAAACTTTCCTTCCTTAAGCCGCGGAAACACCACTGGGGTCATTGCCTAAAACAACAATTCACAGCTCGAAACCGGATCTTGACAAGCCCTTTATATCGAGGAATTCATGGCAGCCCTGGCACAGGGCAAAAAGAGAGCAGCTCCTGGACATGATGGAGTAACTTAGCAAGTGCTTGGAAACCTCAGCAATGAAGCCCAAGAGAAACTCCTAGCAATAGTTAATGAGTCCTGGGAATCGAGAGATGTGCCGGAGTCACTTAAAGTATCGCCCATCTACCTCATGCCTAAGCCGGGCAAAGACCACACAGTGCCAGCAAATCTGCGGCCT